ATATCAGGTATGAAGGGAAGAATGAGAGAGCACTAGTATAGATTTTTTTTGTTCTACTTTATGCAGTTCTTCTCCAATAGTCTGATTGTTCTAGTCTTGAGACATAAAATAGGCAGGTCTGCAAATAAAGGTGAGAACAAGACCAGAAGATGGAAAGAACATTTTTCAAAAGTGAATTTTGGACCAGTGCCAGAGGGATAGCAACAGAAAATGAAATCTTAAGCTTAACATTGACAGAAACATAAAGGAACTGTCAGAAACTGAAAGGAAGAGAAGAAAAGAACAAAAGACTCCTGTGAACATTGGCTTGGGTTAAGCAAGCACTGTTGATTGAAGATAGATACCTGCCATCTTGTATGTTTTAGAGGACTGGATGCATCTCTTTAAATGTTAAATCTGTTATTTGATAAGTTGGATTTGTTAATAAATAAAATTTAAAAGAAAAAAAAAAGAGAAAATGAAGTCATGTATTTATTCACAGGACAGTGACTGCACAAGAAATAGGAGGGCAGTTTCTCCCACATTAAACCACTGACGTACTTCAATCCTAGCTAGATAAGACCAGCTCTAGAAGTGAGCCAATTTCAGCCTCCAAGGCCTAATTCAACTATGCTGACATGAGGAACCAGACTGAAACCACCTACTTTTTTCACAAACAGATTTGTTTCTTTAATAATGAAATGATTATTAGGGTTTCAACTTGCAATTCAATGAGTACAGCCAAATTTTTTTTTTTTAAAGGAAGAGAACTGGTCACAGATTAGAGATTTTCAGATCCTGTAATCTCTGGCAGAATGTCCTAGGTCAATCGTAGTAAGGATCTGCGCCACCTGTGATTGCTGGCCTAGGGAAAATAATCTGTATCTTTATTATTACTGTACATCGGTAAAATGGGGCAGGGGGCCAGAGCTGTACTGCTACCCAGCACGTCCACAGGTGGTGGATAGTGGAATGACCTTCAGGGAAGGTTAGCTGTGAAACCATCAGGGGTAACTCTGATGAATAAGCAGTTGTGGACCAAGCAGCAGCAACACCACCAGGATGTGTGATGAGGACAGCAGATACCAATGGTTTCCCTCCTGAAAATCAACATGTATTCTTTGATGGTGTTGTGACATGGTAAGTACAGGTCACCACTGTAATAAGCCTGCCCAGTCACCAGCTTTGAGTCTACAAGTCCTCAACAGCGGAGCAGGTGGAAGATGTTCATCTCAAAGGCTGAAGGCGGATAGAGGCTGCAGCAGAATGACATCCCCAGTCAGCTTGGTCTCCTTGCCATTGGATCAAGGTCCCGTTCTGTCAAGAGCCACGTGGAAGCTGATGTGCAGCAGCTTTTCCACAATAAAAGAAGTCATGTACAGGCGTCTTCCATGCCAGCATTGTAGCATCAAGTAGTTGAGCTGGTGACCTCAGTCCAAGTCTAGACTGGATGCCTTGTCCCAAGCTTTAACACCACAACTGACAAAATTAAGCATATAAATACAGGTACTCCTCACCTAACGTCATCCCGGTTAACTTTGTTTCATTATTATGTTGCTGATCTATTAGAGAACGTACTCGTTTAAAGTCATGCAATGTTCAGTTATAACGTTGTTCGGCCATCGCCTGCTAGTAGGTAACTACTGTGACATAATTGGATTCGCTTAACATCGTTTCGCTTAAAGTTGCATTTTTCAAGAACATAACGACAACGTTAAACGAGGCGTAGCTGTATAGTGCATGTTATTAACCTCCCCACTTCCCCGCCAAAAGCACTGAAGTTTCTACAAACATTCGTGTATGTATGTATGTATGTATGCATGCATGTTAATTTATATAAAGGTTACAACCAATCTTCCAGAAAGTTGACAGTCCACTCCCTTGCACTGAAAACTGCAATTCTCGCTTCTTTTCTGTACTGGGGCAGCATAGCAGAAAGGAGTAGGAATGACCCTACCATGTTAGCTCTCCATGGTGGTGGTTCTCGGAGCTGGAGAAGATTTAGAAGTTTTTTTCAATGACGGTCTCATGGAAAGACATGCTTAAATCCAAGCACATGAATCCAATGAATGCCAGAGCTGGGGTGTCTGCAGTTTCACTGTGAGGGAATGCAGCAGCACTTTGGGAACAGAGATCAAGCAGGACACCTTAGAATATAATTGGGACTGTGAAGCATGGTGTCAAAATGCATCTGAGCCCAAATCTAAGCCAATTCAATCAGAATGTCTAGGGTAAAACCTCTGTTTGAGCTATTTACATTTTTATAATAAAACTTTCCCAATGAATAAATCAGATGACTTATGCGGTGAGAAGATCTAAAGGAGGAATGTGGGGTTTACCCTGGTGGCACAAGCTTTCCCAGCAAGGATGATTACATATGTGATGTGGCTTACTCATCTGCTCAAGGGTAGCAGAGAATTTTTTTGGTTTTTGGATTGAAGAACCTTTAAGCAGCAAACACAGAGGAACTGAAAACAAGCAAATGAAGACTGGTAGCAAAGGTATCCTGAAATATATCACTGCCCCCAACTGCAGAGATTGTATCTTCATCATCAAATGTCTTGAGTCCTCTAAGCCTCCATATTGGTACTAGAATTAAACAGATCTTCTCATCTTGCCATGTCCTAGCTTTATACACAGTCTCCTTCTAAAAGCCATTTGGTAATTACTTGACACAGGTGCTGGTAGGAGACGAACATTTGATTGGGATGAATTGATAGGCTCACATAAATTAAAACTAGAGAAGACCTAATTAGTAGTCATCTAGATGATCCTGAAACATTACCATCTCCTGGACCCCTATTGCACACCTCTAACATGTAGCCACGCTGTCACTCATATCAACCAGACACTCAGAGAAGATCATTCACAGGCATGGAAACTGACCTTCTGTATACTTACTTATTACAGAAAGGTAATACTTACTTATTCAAAATACACAAGACCCTCAAGCTCTGGCGTGTTGTCTTCATAACTCCTTTGATTTCAGGAAGTATTCTGTCCCTCTGGGCACAGAGAAGGCGAGTGTCCAAGGTCACAAAGGACATCTGTGTTGGAGCAAGAAACTCAACCCAAATCTTCTCAAGCCTCTTGCATGCCTTCCATCAGAGTGCTGGAACACAAACCCCAGATATGCTACAAATCTCACTCAACTTTTTATGTTCTTCAGGCATATGTCATATGGGTCATTTGCTTCTGCTTTTTCCTGTTCCTCTAGCCACCTCTGGATTCTTCCTCCAGCTCCATTTGTGGCATCCCCACAAAGCAAGGGCTGCTATCCAATATTTTCTGTATCTAGAAGAATTTCTGGGATAGATTAGCGTTGGCACATTAGTATCGCTCAAAATTCCTGTTCTTTTCACAGTGGTTGTTGCTGGAAACTACCCACAGGCATAGTCAGCATGGTCACCCAGGTGACTAGCTCCCGATTTCATTTTTCAAATTAATTTTATTAATGTAAAACACAAGAAAGCTCTGTTTATAAAAGCAAGCAGAACAGTTGCAACCATTGAAGGCAACTTACCTTGAAGTTGGGGGGAGTGGGGCAGGGTCTTATTGGGATGTACATGCTGTTCTTTCATCCAGTGACTCCAGTAAGATGTCACACATGCACACCCAACATGCCTCCTAGCTAAACAATGCCCAGGGCTTTTACCCACTACTTTTACCCATGCATTTTATAATGTATACAGACTACAGTCATGTAACTTTAACTGATGCGAGTTAACTGACTCCAACAAAGCTTCTCTTTCGACACTTGTGAACGGTATCACTTCCTGAGGATTAAAAATGCCTATCCAATACACAACTCCAAAATCTAATTCCCTTCCCCATTTCATCCTGTCATGTTTGTTCTTTATTGCATCTGCATGCTCTGAGTTGTACAGAAAAAGTAGTTTATTCTAGTAAGCATTAATCAAGGAGGCTGCTATTCAGCCAGCCCAGTGCCACACTGCCTTTGTGCACCCTTGTACCCTACACTACAAGGTCTGGGATTTCTGCAGAAGTAGAGCTCTCATCTCCTAGATGGAGATGTGACCTCTAATTGTTCTACAGAGACCCTTCTGACAGGTTAAGAAGCTGTTTTAGGGCTCCAAAGGGAGTCTTCACACTTAGGGCATGGACACAGGGTCTGAGAAGGCAGGGTAGGGGGGAGGGAAGCAAGGAAGGGAGAAAGAGTGCATGCAATGGTGCAAGTAGGAAAGGGGTGAGGTCAACCTGATGATCTGTCGAGCTCCCTTCCAGCTCTTAATTTCTAGGATTTCTTCTTAAGTTGCCACGAATGGGGAAATTATCAAAGCATTGACACATACATGTGAAAACTGGGCCTAGCAACTCAATTCCGATTCTGCTGTTAGTGCAGGAAAATCGAGGCTTGCATATTATTTGACTGTAAAGGACTTGTATCTAAGTCAACCAGCTAGCATCCGTAGCAGACATCAGAGTTGCGAGGTTGTCTTGGTCATTTATTCTGCTCTACCACCTGCAACAGAAAGAGGCCATTTAATTCAGTACTGACTGGTCCAAACTTGAACTGTTTTCTTGTCCCTGTGTACCTTGGGTAGGAGCTTTTAGCTAGGTGGTTACCTGCAAGGCCACACTTGCTGGAACAGATCTAATACAAGCCTCCAATTCACTTAACAGAGCTCCCTCGCTCTCATTTTATTGTAGCTCTCAACTTGGTTTATTTCCAAACATTATATTAGCCTTCCAAAACAACCCATGAGAACATTTTAGAGAAGCAGGGAGTACCAAAAAAAAAAGTAATGAGGGTAACCAGTTTTATAGCTGTGTGTTTTGAAGAACAGGGGGCACATCCATAAATGGATCAAGTTATTCAAATCTCAAAGCAGGAGCTGTTTCCCTTACTTTCTTGCAGCTAAATCATTCTTAAAATGGTTTAGTTATACAGTACAGGAACCAGAACATGCAGGATGCTCAGGCAAGTAGAAGACCTAAGATTATACCAGATGTACAGGATTTATGGAGGTCAGGGGATGCAGAGGGAAACACCAGCATGCGCCAAATTGGGCAGCCTGAACTTCCAGAATAGGTGGTTCCTGTCCTGACCAACAGGGAAAGGGCTTGGGAAACCCTTTGGAAAAAGCCTGTTGCAGGAAAGTCATTTTGCTTTAGCTGGAAACTATGAAAAGCTCAGTGAGGGCATAACAAGAAACTGGGAAGAACTGGTGCAGCAGTTTAAGGAAGTAGCTAACCATAGCCAAAGGATGCTAGAAAGAAAGACAAAATCTGCAGCAGTAACAAAGGGTTCTCTTAATGGGGCTGTACCTGGAACATTAAAAAAAATTGCAGCCCAAGTATTGAGGTATGAAGGATTAGCCTGGGACAGGAGTCTGATCTGACCAGGTTCAGACCAAGAGAATTGCTATATGTAGGAAAAGAGGGGTTGGGCATGCAATGAGAGTTATGGAGAAAGATAGCAGCTGGCAAGCAAATGTGAGGCAGGGGCTACATGTCTATGAAAGGATGAAAAATGCAGGTGTCCAATTTAATAAGCAGACTGAGCCTGCCTAGGCAGCAGGATTTCTAAAGCCATACTTAACAGGAGGGTTTGATGGGAGGGCCCTGGTTGGTACCATGGCTAAGGAACCCCTGGGCAGCCTCAAACTATCAGTAGGGAAAAGGAAAAGAAAAGGGAACATGAGGAAGTAGTAAGACCAAAACCTAGCCATGGAAAACAGACCTGAAAGGGAATGCCCGCCCCCCAACCCCCCCACCACTCAAAGTTAATTTTCCATTTTTCCCCCCAATGAAGTCTGGATGCTTTCACAAAATGTCCTGCTTCCAAGAACATGCAAGCCCCCCCCCCAAGTCAAATGGAAAGTTTGGAATAACCAGGAAATCAGTCTAACCTGAAACAGTTTGCTTCCCACAAAAGATAACATCCCTGCTGTTTGTCCACAGTGCCTTTTAAGCCCCAGCCATAATCCAGGACCAAACTGGTACCGATTGTGTTAACACTGAAAAACACCTTAGATATGGCTCATCTCCAAACCAACCCCATATACCGAGTCCCCCAAATTCCTCTCCCTAGGAACTATCTGTTCAAGGAGACACGGGCCAATAAATTCCCAGGACACCCATTGTCCACAGCATGCTCTATTGTTTGTTTAATTGTAACCTCTTATTTACAAGTGTTAAAGCAAGGTTTCAATCCAATTCTCCAAAATATGGCAGATGCTTTCACTGACGTTACATCTACTATGCTCTTCCCTAGTTATGCGTCCCCATTTGCTTACAGATTTCTCCTATGGGTTTTCCATCTATTACAGCAAGAAGTGATTATTTGTGTCTGTTTTTCCATATTGTTACAGTGACTTCAAAGGAATAAACAGCACATTAAAAGTGCTCTATAGTAACGGCCTCTGGTTTCATGCTAATCCACAGTGGGCGAGTCTACTAGACAGTTACTACGCAGGTGACTAATTAGCTGCCCAGTAAACTTTTGGGCATCTATGTGTGCACCCCTATTAGGTTAGAGTAAACTAATCTACTTGTAAATACAAGTACTATCCTGCTGCAGAGTAAAAAAAACAAACTCTGCAGCAGTGCACATGTAGATGCTGTGCGACTGGCTGGGGCAGAAGGGTGCTTTGGTGCAGAGGCCTGCCTGCTGGATGAAGCTCCACCATGCCCCAACCAGCCTGTCCACAGCACATTGAGGGGAGCAGCCCTGGGCTGGCATGCTGACCCCCAGGGCCCTCTGCTCCATGGACTGTGCCTGAATAAACAGTGGTGCTTATTGCTCCGCAGTTCATTGCTCCCAGGTGCAGGTTCAAAGGGTGCGCCCAGGAGCAATGAACTCCAGAGCAATAAGCTCTGCAGTTTATTCAGGTGCCGTAACTGCACGTGTAGGCGCACCTGGTGAAAGCTAAACTGCAGGAGTTCAGTCCTCAACAAAACAGCATAAACCACTAGTTAACTTCTGCTTACTAAGGGATAAGGGTGGGCAGTCACAATGAGCGAGGCATGTTATATCCCAACTCACTAATTTATTTGTCCGTGGCCCTAGACTGACCTCCTCTATGAAACAGAGCATGTATTTCATCCAGAAATCTATACACTTGTTGAACTAGGAAGTCCAAGTCATATCTTTTTCAAAAAGATCCCATCTTAACTTTAAAACTCCAGGCAATGTAGGATTTATACATTTCCTGGGTAACCTAGTCTGAACAAATTCAGCTATCCTTAGTTTTATTCCCTTCTTGTATTTTCCAACTTGAATTTCCAGCCTTTATGTCTATCTGCTAAAGGGCTCTTGACTGTTAGTTATCTTCTCCCTGGATATGTACTTACAGACTTTGATCAAATTCCCTTTCTGAACCTCCTCTTCAATATGTAAATATTTGAGCTTCTTGCATCTCTTATTGCAAAGCAGGTTTTTCATTTGAAGGACTGGAGTTAAACTTGACAACAGCAACAGACAAATCAGAGCTAGCTTTTTTTCAGCCTTAGCGCTTTCTTCCTTCTCTAGGACTTAAATCAGTGAGAATATTAACCTAGTGGCTTCCATGGAGGTCCCTTACCACATTAGAATAAATGCTATAAATCTACCCAGCAATAAAAATGTTCATCTGAAGATTGAAGTAAAGCTGCCTGGACACTATACTGTGAGCATGCTATTCAGTAAATTGATGTGTATTAGAGTGGCCAAGCAGAACTAATCACTCAGTTTCCCCAATATGAGAGGCATGTATTGAACAATATTTTTCCAGTAGTTGACTAGCTTTGGCTATAAATACCCTCTGTATCTTCCACAACACTGTACTTATTTGGTACACTCTGTATTTATGATGTACATTCATCAGGGCAGACAACCGTGGCATTTTCATATTGGGCAGTGGTTTAAGTATACCACTGCTACTTCAGTAATTGTTACACCCTCACCCTTAGACAAACAGAGCATATGTCCTGAAGTTTTCTTACTACTTCATAATCTGACTTTTTTAACATGATCTTAACTGACCAAACTTTATTCTTTTACAGCAAGCCCTGCCTCCATCAATTTAGTCATTACATTTATGCCTCCTTCCCTGCTCATGTTATGAATGTTTGTTTTATTCCTGTCCCATAGAGTTTGTGAAAATCCCTACCTTCTCCAGGTAACTCCTACACTTTGCTAGAACTCTGAACCAACAGTGTACTTTGGTTTTAATTCTCCATCTTCCTTCCCCACCAAGTTTCAGTCCCTTTCAAAATACTTTCACTTCATTTTAAAGTAGCCACAAGCATGACAATCTTCCTCCCCCAAAGGAAGTGCAGGCTGCTGTGGCTAGATTATGGTGTCTTTAAACTCTCCAAGCCCTCTGCCACATTAATACATTTTATTGCTTCCTACCACTCTATGTTTTACTATGTATCTTTAAATTTGTTTTCTTGATAGCATCACTGTATCACGTTGCAGACTATTAATCCACCTCAAAGTCTGAATTCAAAGAGCTCAACAAAAAAGTCACCAATACTAAACACCACTGATTTTCTAATTCACCATTAGTTGCCTATTAAATTATAATTTCTTACAACTATGCAACTATGAATATTAACAAGAGGTACAGAACTATACAGAGCTTACTTTCAGCTTATTCAGTCTGAAAGGAGGGGGAGGAAATAAATTCTTCCATTTAAGGAAGATGGCCTTTATCAGGCAATAGTGAATTATGGTAGGTAGTGAGAGCTGCTTATTGGACATGGTAACTTAAAGGGGATATTTTCTTTGTGCGTACCCGTAGTATTTGCAAGGATGTGAAGAGAAACTGCAAAGGGAAGGGAAAATTGCTTATACTGTACTTTCAACTATTTGTTGCATAAAAACAAAAGTATGGTCTGGATCTAAGGTTCAAAGTCTATCCATTTTGTAGATTTGTGACTAATTAAAACAGATTATGGCAACATATATTTAGAATAGCTAAAATAATTCAAAACAATCATTCATAACTGCTTAGAGAAAACATCACGAGAGAAGTTTCGACTTGGCACAGAAAAAGAAGCCAAGATATCAGTTCTCCTCCTGACATGCAGGGCCTTCTGCTGGCTAGCCAAGCCATTTAACACGTACCCAAGTCATCCATCTGGATGAACACCTACCTCTTCTACAGTAGAGTTACAAGCCTCCACGTTAATCTGCTAAGGACACTGCAATTCAAGATGGTTCACATGCATATCCAGTGCACCTCTTCACAAAAGCAGCACGATACAAATGTGTGTTCTGAGAAGCCAAGCTGGGCCATAACTTCACATGTGTATGTATGCAGTATGTCATAAGTGATAACTTTTTTTTCTGATCTGTTTTGGATAGGAAAGAATCCCGTGTGATTTACACTTCTTCTAAAATGGCATGCACAAATTTGAGCCTAGAGTTCTATTTTAAGAGAAAACCTGTAAACTTCTGGGGCACTTTACAAAGAAAAACAATAAACCCTTCCCTCTCCCAGCACTCTTAGCTCCTTAAGTCACAGGGACATCCCAAAATATAAGACCACTGCTGACAGCGACAATGTGGCACAAGCCACAGGACTGCATCTCATCTGCAAGAGATATATTTTTATGAATATCACAGAAATCAACCATAGAAATTAAGGCCTAGGAAGGGACCTCAAAAGAACATCAAGTCCAAACCCCCCTTGCTCTGGGGAGGAAAACTGCTGAGACCGAATGATCCCAGAGAGGTGTCTGTCAAAGTCTTCCAAGATTGGGGATTGCACCACCTCCTTGGCAAGTCTGTTCCAGATTCTGGTCACCATTACCATAAAGTTCTTCCTCACATCCAACCTGAAGCCATCCTTTAACAATTTATGCCCATTGCTCCTCGTCACCCTAGTGATGTTTTTCTCCCAGCTCCCAATATTCATCACTTACATACTTAGAGATGGCCACCAAGCCCCCCCAGTCTTCTCTTCCCCAGGCTGAACAGTCCCAGATCCCTTAGCATAGGCAGAGGAAGAAAAACAAAAAAAGGGGGGAGGGGCGCAGCCTAAGCGTGTGTGCACACTTGTGAGGTCTGAGGGGGAAGGGGAAAAGGGGGGGGGGGGGGGGGGGGGGACCGCCATCGCTTTGGAAGTGGTGGGCACTGCCATGTGCATCCCGCTGCTGGGCGGGCCAGAAAGCAAGGCACACAGCGGCGCCCGCTACTTTCAAAGAGGTGGTGGTGAGGTGGGGAGACATGAGCAGAGGCTGAGCCCAGCTTGCAGCTGTGCCTGCCCTCACCCATGCAAAGATCAGGGAACCATGTGCCTTCTCCCACTTGGCTGCCCTCCATCGTGCATCTGGAGGAGGTGCTGGGCTCTCATTATCCCACGACCTGTCCAGGTCAGGTTGTGGGACAATCCCCACAGTGCAGGAAGGAGCCAAGGCTAGGGGTGAATGATTCACCCATCCCCGACCCCACTCTCCCCTGCACTGTGGGGGTCTCGATCTGTCCTCCCCCCAAGTCCATGGAAATAAAAATAAGATTAAAAGAAACTTACCTGCCGGCTGCAATCCTGGACGCGAGTGCGCAGGATAGTTCAGCATGCCCGCCCCTCCACCCCCGCTGCAGGACCTGACAGCTGGGTTGCCCTAAGGCAATGCCTGCTGCTGCCCTGTTTTTTGGGGGGCTGAGACCTGTTAGGCAGTGGAAGTGGGGGGGAGGGGGGAGCTATGTCCCTTAGTCTTTCTTCATAAGGTTTGTCATCCAGGCCTCCATTTCAATAAATATTGAAAACTAGTCTATGACAAATGAATAAAAAAGGATTCTTTGCCTGAGTCCACTAGCAAGGAAATCTCCTGTTGTTGAGCTTTGTAAGACCCAGCAATTGCAGGGCAAGGACAGCTACCTTGGGTCATACTTGAGATATCTTCTCCTACTAATGTAATACAGCTACTGAAAACTAAAACTTCAAAACGATCTGGCAATATTCCTATACACATTTTTTAAAGGGCATAATGTATATTCCATTTCAGATACTCCCTCTCCTCTTCATCCAAAGTCGCTCTACTCTTTTATGCAAAGAACAGAGGAACAAGTATCTGTCAATTCGGTGTGGTAAGGCAATTACTGCAGAGAACAGTCCGACTAACTCTTGACTCATTTACTAGTGTCCCCTAATGTTAAAGTTGAATGTTTTTCTTCACCCTACAAGTGTGGCATTTGGGAGTGAAGTGACAAGAAAAGCCAGGAGTTTAAAAAAAAAAAAAGTCAAGACGACTTTATAAAGGAAGTAACCAGAAGCTAAAAGAAAAACCAACAGCACCCTCTAGAGGATACTGCAGTATTCTTACATACATGGATATTCCCAACAAGTTCATCATTTTAGGTTCTGTATTTTAGACTCTTAACTGTAGTTGGGACCTTAACTACAATATCAACAGTAAAAACACAATAAAAAAAAAAAAAAGATTGACGCAAAAACTGTATTAGACTTTGGATGAATTCTACTTACAGTAGTACTTCAGCACCAAAAAAATGGGCAGTTAGAATGATAGATGTATATACAATTGAATGATACGTCTAAGTCTTAAAATGCTTTGTTATTTATAATGAAATCTATACAAAACAGTTAAAAACTTGTTTCTATGTACATTAAAAAAAAAAAAAAAGATACTGTCTTCATTACCAGAATATATTAAAACTGGCTCTTAACATCCAATCTGCACCCAACTCTCTCTCTCTCTCTCTCTCTGGCTTGTAACTATCTCAAAACACCAACATATTGCATGAACAATTCAAATCATGGGGCTCATGATAACCTCAGAAACCTACAACGGTAAATGATTTAAGCTTTTAAATTCTCAAAAAGGCAATTTTAGAAACAGCATGTAAGAGTAAAATACAGATTTTTAAAAGCCTCAGCACACATCTGAATACCCAGTTTCAACCTTTAGACATTGAACCAACATCTCGTTCCCCACTTTCTACTCCCTCCCTCCGGTTTTGAAAATTTGCTTTGAACTAGAATATTTCTCCCATCCTACAGCATTAGAATGAAACCATTTGCCTGTTTAACAGGAACTTGTTAATTAACTTGGCCTTGTTTTAAATTTTTACATTTAAATAAATAATCAAAGTTAACTAATTAAACTAAAATGAGCATTTCTTGTGCTCATGGCACAAGAGGAAATGCTTTTACATTAAATTAGCGTATTTATTGTAAAATACAAAAACAAAACTTCACCAGCAAACTTCGCTGCTACCTGTTAGCAATTCTGCTTATTTCCGAACATTCACCAACAAGTATTTAAAAAAATAAACTACATTTTTAGGCTTATTAAAAATCTGAACTCCAACTGAGCTCAAGTGCAAGAAAGCTAAACAAGTCTGAAATTCCCAGGGCTCTTCCAGCACTGTCAGGAAGACCTTTCCTCTCACATGCTCTTTAAAAATACAAATATCTAAATATTCTTTTTGTGATGGCATTTTGCTCAATAGCTACGAAAAACAACGCAACAAAACAAAGGGCCCTTTTGACTGAGAGAGGTTTCAATACCTAATCAAGGGCTTCATAGTGTATTCATCTTTTCAATTCACTGGAGATTTGCCTTTTTAAAGGAGTACATTCTACTGTCACAGACGCACCTTGGTAATTACATGTTTTTGGAAACAGTTAAGATGTGACTTCTGCAATACTACCTCGTTAAAACACACTGATGCTTCAAGGGTCCATTGAACAACTCTAACAGGCAAAGTGCTCTAATACATCACAATACAAGGGCATCTTGGACACTCAATTCCCAAGATATTTTAAAGTGCACTCCAGTCTCCCGCATCACTAGGACTGTTCAGCAGAACTTTGAGAGGGACTGGGCCCAGTGCCATCCTCAGTACTACTGTCCACATCTTGTTCCATTGCTGTCTCTTCATCATCAAGACGCTGACTTGTGAAGTTGTTGAGCTCCAAAAGCCCGCTGGGTTCCACTACCACGTTGGAGCTGGAGTGACAAGGGATGGAATACTGAGGGATAGTCTGAAAGAAAGAAAAAAAATGAGTTTTATTATGAATTATTTTCACAGGTAAAGTAAGAGGCAGTTTTGTATGCAAGCTGAAGAGAGATATTCCTGGTCAACTCTACAAGTCCTAGAAAGTTTTATTTTGCTCAGTAATCAACTTTGCAACAATAAGGTCAAAACAAATTACGTTGATTACAACATCAAATGGTCATTCTCCAGGATTTCAGAAAGATAAATTGAAATAAATGGAATTAACAACAACAACAAAACAGCCTTGTGGTTAAGGCACTGGCTGACACAAAAAAGACGTGGATTAATTTGCCAACTGCCGCTAACTTCCTATGTAACCACAAGCAAGTCACAATATCTGCCTTGCTTTTACCGTATGTTAAAAGATGGGGTGAAAAAAATCCACCCTTTTGTGTCTTATTTATTTAGACTAAGTACACTGTGGAAAAGGCTTCCAATATGATGCTGTATCTACAATTCATAGTCAACTAGGAGTCTGATTTTAGTTGAAAAGAATAAAGCTAGACTGCCCAAAGGACTGGAAAAATCTTTGCCAAGGGAAAATGCTGCACTAAAAGGAAAACAGAATAGGTGACAGTCATCACTGAGTCCTAATTTTTATTAGATGCTGTAAAACTATATTTACATCCGACAAAAAGAATGTTGTAGCTCATACCTTTCTGAACAAGTTACTTTAAGGTGCTACCCTGCCCTGACTTTTTATTAATAAAAAACTGATAGCCAGAACGGTATTTTGATTTTCAGACAGCCCACACTGTACCACGTTGAGCACAGGGATTAACATAATATATAGTATCTAAAAATACAGATGCACCAGAGTAAATATAATCTACCTTTTGGTCCTCAATCTCTTCAAGACATTTTAATACAACAAGGATCAAAGCTTTGACTGTGTCTACAAAAGTTAGTTTAGTTGTAATCTGTGTATAAAAATGATAAATTTAAGATTTCTTCCTGAGACACCTGTATAGCAAAACCTCTCTAATACACACACAGTTTACTTGTATACAAACATAGACACCCCGGCCACTTCTCTGCAAAGATCCAACAACATGAAGCTCCGAGTGAGATCTCAGATGACTAAGAGTTCAACATTTTTGTGGTTTGTACACTGGAACATATACTACTGCATAATGCAGTATCAAAATAAAAAGCAATTTAAAAATGGGCAAAAAATTAATGATCACACTCATTTCCATAGACTAACTCAGCAAAGGATGTAAGCATCTGCTTAATTTTTTACATGGGACACAGTTGTTAAGTAACAAAACAATCCTGTTTAGCATGCATCTCATTAAGAATATGTTTTTAATATCCTTTACTGAAATTGGATCTTATTTTCCAATTTGCAAAAGGTTACCTTACAGAGATAAAACTTAAGACACCGTGAAAAAGGCAAATCATTTCTCTAATGGCTACAGCAAAATGCATATGTTCAAACATTTTGGCTAGAAGGTGGTTTGCAAACCTAGTGAGCTGTCTTGTTTCCTTAACAGGAAAGTAAAGAAGAATGCAGTAACCAGCATCAAAAAGGGCCAGACGTTTTTCTCGTGGTAAAGAGCTTAACGTTAAAAGGAGAATACCAAAAAAAAGAAAAAAAGGGGGGGGGGGGAAGAAACACGTCCAGTCAGTGACAGAATTAGAGTTGTTTGCATAATCCTTACTTGTTTTTATAAACCCAAACTCCAAGTTTGTCCTTAGATGATGGGGGAACTCCTTGACAGTCTACTCTTACCCACTGCAACACATTGTCCTTAGCTCTTGAGTTTAACATGTAGAACTGAAAGAAAAAGAGACTTTGTTAACCTACACAGTGAGCTTAAATCTAAAGAGTAACCAATGTTTATTAAATGTTTGAATCCTAGATTATTATGCAACGCTACACAATTCCACGCCCCCCCCCCCAAGCTTCATGCAGTACAAGTTCAAGTACAGGGCCAAGGACACTCGGCATCTGACAGCAACCAGCCTTATCACTGCTTGTCTCCCATGACAGGATGACTGGCACTGAATTTACTCCTATCCAGAGGCTGACATAGGATGGCTGGAGGAGTGTAGAAAGCAATGGCTCTCTCCACTCTACTGCGACTTGAATTCAGTCATCAAATTTTTATGATACAGGCATCTCTCCACTTTGTGTATGATTTTATATGTAAATGAATAACTGAAACTCTAGCTTTAATGAACTCTAAAATCTAATCTTGTCATAAATAGGAAGCAAGTCAAACTTCAACTCCAGCTTTGGAGTAGCTTCAGATATAACTTCTGAGGTTACACTCAGTGGGCACATCTACACTTCCACATTTACTTTGCAGGAATCAAAATTACTGCACAGTACAGGCACATGTCTACACGCGCATACCTGTACTGTACAGTAAATATGGGGACTTATGCCGACTTGAGAGTAAATTACCATTTGATACCATCATGCAGGTATCAAATATACACCTGATTGGTTACAGCAAACCCTGAACATTGTTCAATTGCTTTTAATGCTTTAGACCAAGTTAGTGCAGAGGTCGCAGCTCAAACTTTAACTTTTACTTGCTCTGGTCTCCTCTTACCTGGATAATAATTTCAGATGAAATCTCTTCAGCTTTCTTTTGTGATATATTCTGAATGTGAATAAACTGGTTTGTTGTAGGCACTCCTTGTGCATCCGGTTTCCTCTCTGTTAAAGTAGGACCAACAGCAGGAGGACTTGAACAGGATTCTTTATATTTCTGTTGCTGGGGGATGGAAGTTGCCGTCATCCCTACTGCAATCACCCTCGGCACCTGGGTACAAGGTGACGGTTCTGCTTCGCTAGCGAGTTTACTAGTGGACAAAGCCTTGTTTGGGGGATCCACTACCATATGTTCTATGTTTGTGTCAATCTGAGCTTCCATCATAGACATTTTCAAAATGTCTGCTACTGCTGTCTTCACGGATGCCTGCATGGGAAATAGGCTTGTAACTGGCAATGCCAGTTTGGGCAGAGAATTGCCACCTGCTACCTTTGAAACAGAAGGAGGCTGATGCCCCTCAAAAGTTATCTTTGTAACAGTGGATCCTTGCGTTATAATTGGCTGCTGCACCTGAAAATCAAATTTTTTTTGTGCATGTTACAGCTGGGTTTGTTTGTTTAATTATTATTTATTTAATCCTAATCAATATTTACCTGGACAATATGGCACAAACAACATATTTGCTACTAGGAAGACAGTTGAAGCTCAGTGTTTTAACAAAGGATTCAGCAGTGATATGGTAACATTTAATTGAAGCAAGGGGAAAGGCTCTTTGGACTGCTAGACACGTTCCTAGCAGTATGTCACAGCAGCCTCGTTTTCCTTTGGGATTTACATCCCCATCTGGTGCGTTTAGTCACTTTTTTTTTTTTTAAAGCCTCAAGGGGCTTGGGAGTTGTAGGGATTTTTTTTGCAGTTGGTTAAATACTCAGAGAATTTCATTTTTCTCAGTCTTTACATGTTCACCTCCCAAGGAAAATAAGATTGCTCCTCTAATAATAGTTAACTTAAGGGAGATGTAAATACAAAGGAAGACGAACAATGGAGATCCTTAGGAGACTGCAGTGTATTCATCTTTATTTCCATAAAGATTAAAGAGAGTGCTACGGGAACGGAAATCAATAATACGTCATACCTAAAAAATAAAAGAAATAATTAGGGACAAATTCCATGCACCACTGGTGGCAGAAATTTATAGAAACTGTCCAAGAAAATAGACTTGTGAGCTCTATGTAATTTTCCCCTATATTATAAACATGTGCTTCTCTTCCCTAGTGTCAACCTTTGGATGGGGAAATTAATACCAGCATAAGGAGGAGTTATCTCTTGCCAGGAGAAACACACTGCTACAGTGACAGACTTGGTGTTTTGATTTTTCCTTGAATAGTGACGTTTTTATTTTTTGCATGCTATCAATATTCCGTTACCTGACTCGCTGGCTGTTTCTCTGAAGAGGCAGGTAGCTGCATTTGACTCTGGGGGGGTTGGGGCTGTACGTAGATTTTTTGTGCCGTTGGTGCCTGTTGCAGTTTGGGTAGCTGTTGCGTGGTTTTTACTGCAAGCACCTGTACTACAGTTTGCTGTGGCTGTGCCACTAAGGTAGGGAGTTGCCTTTCTTTGGCCATCATGTGGTGAGGGGTGGGCTGTGCATCTGGTTTGCTCTGCACCTGCTCCTGCTGCAGCGGGTTTAGCTTTTGATGCCTTATAGAAAGCTGGGGCATTTGTGGGAGTTTGTGCTGGATCTGATCTGCTTGCAGATGGATGGTCTGCTTCTGTTTAGTCTGGAAGCACTGCAGAGTTTTCACTTGCAGTTGAGTCTGTTCCAGCTGCGGCTGACTCAGTTTCTGCTGTTTCAGTGCCTGTGATTGTGTCAGGGCAGATCTGTAAAACAGGCCAGTCTGAGGATCTAAGGTGTCCATCTCTTCCACTTCGCCTTCCTCAGTTCCAAGCTGCTCACTGTGCTTGGTAAACGCAGTGTGGCTGCTTAAAGCCTTAACAGAAAAGTTACACATGACTTAAGTAATAAGAAACGATCTGAATTACTACTAAATACACAATCTAATGACATTACAGAATACTTAAACTGGACTGCTTAACACAGAACAACTTAAAGGTTTCAGGCAATCAACTTGTACATAAAAACAAAAATGCCTTAATATGGTGCACTCACAAAGCCGTTATCACTCAATGGTTCTTGAGGTAGACCGTGATGTACCACCCCGATGTACCACCTCCAAATGAAAAACCAAGAAAACCAGACTTGGAAGACTACGATTTGGATCACTTCCAGTTCCATGATAGCTGAATGGGAAGTGACAGGTGCTGGCTAATCAAACAGATAGCTTAACTTAGGGGAATCTCTCAAGGTGGCAGCTTCTAGCTTAAACAGGCAGCTATCAATTCACTAACAGGTAGCTTTATCTGTGCTGAGTTGGCTTTGTGACATCCTCCACAATTCTCCTTATATTTGGGACCCACCTCATTTCCCATGCATCAAACCACTGCTTCTCCCACCTCTCCAAGTCAATTTTTCCTGCAACTCCCTACCAAGACTGAGTCTCTACCTTCCTACCAAAACTGTTAACCCCATGTATCACATTGGCTGGCTGGGACGGTTTAGCTAGGGATGATCCTGCCTTGAGGAGGGGCCGGACTAGAGGACCTCATCGTTCCCTTCCATGTCTAGCATCCTATGATCCTATGTTTGAATTCAGACTTCCTTGGGGCAAAAGCTTTGACTAATAATATGCTTCATACAACACTTACCTCTTTAATAATTAGATTAACTGGCCTCATTCAGAGGAAATTCTAATTCTATAGATACTCCCTGTAGAAACTTCATAGGCCTATCACACTGGTAGGTCTGTATTCCTAGCTGGGGATCATGGCTATGATGGTTATACAAGAGATTGCAGAATATGTTTACAGGTTTCCCTCCCTTTATGCAGGTTGTGTATGTGCAAATTCACTCTTATGTGATGACCCTTTTCATACCAAAAATTCATTATATGCGAGGGAAATTCACTCTGATGGGATCAGTGTGGTAGAAATGATGCCATAGGTGGAGGAAGAAAAAATGATTTTGGGGAGGGTGGGGGGGGTGGAGCTGAGCTGGGTGACAGGGCCCAGGCTGGGCTACAGCAGTGGCTCCTGCAGCCCGGCCCAGTGCGGCCCCGTCAGCACGGCGCCCTGGGAGCTGAGAGCCATGAAGCTGCAGGGCAGCAGCGCCCGTGGCTGCCGCTCCCGGCCCGCGGCGC